TACATACATACATACATACATACATACATACATACATACATACATACATAGATAGATACATACAGACAGACACACCAAACTTGTGGATTATATATAGTAAGGATAACAAAAGAACTGCGCAGTTATTCAGCACAACAAAAAAAAAGAGGAGTGAACGATATCTGTTCCGCATGAAGTACGGTCGCGATGGTTCAGTTTTTCATGTCACTGTCAATCAGTTGAAGCATATTTCCAAGTTTGCTTCAAATGACGACTGCCGACGCCACTTCGTCGCGCTATTTCAACCGTCACGTCTCCCCTGCCCCAAGGAGACGAGAGTAGTTAAGGATAGCTACTACACGGTTGCTCCAATATGGGAAATAATACAATACCAGCATGGTATTTAATTTTGATAAATCTAATAACTTCTTCGATTTTACTGTGAATCTTCATGACAGGAGCGAAGGTGAGGGTGACGCGACCATCTAACTTTGAAAGATGCTTTCATTACATCCTCTTCTCGAGTTCGCTTCTTTGCACAGATACGCTCCGCACAAAAAACGAAGTCATAGGAACAAACTAAACCCAAGTAATGTTCACCTCTGATCTTTGTCAAGTTGGTCTCCGAAGCCAGCTGTCTCCACCAATCTGAGCTTGACACGAATACCACCTTCAGCAACGTCTGCAAATGATCGGAGTTCGAGAACACTGTCAAAAAAGCTAAGGAAGAATAGCAGCAGCTAAAAAAATTTGCGCAATGGCTATATGTATATGGAACAACGTAGGGATATACATATGTTTATGCTACAGAATGCGGCTTTTTATTCACTCGCTCGGGTATGGATTTGTGTTTGACAGTTTTCATGTGTGTGAGCGTGATCAACAAAAAAAACATTTCAAAAAAAATCACCGATTATGTCTGTGATAAAGAAGCAAAGTGAAGATTATGTATGCATATAATAAATAAGAAATGTCGGAAAGGTGCAGTGACGAGCTGTGTTCATCCAAACCCCTCACATATTTACTCATTTTTTCAAGTAAGAAAACTTCATTCATACCGTATGATCTCGTGCGCAGTTCAACAGTTTTGAGTTCATGACTGCATGGCTCCAAATCCAGCTTCATGTTGAATAGTGATTCAATCAATGTTGTTTTTCCCATACCAGTTTCGCCCACACACATTAAGTTAAATTGGAACCTGAAAAGAGTTGACATAAATTTATTCCAGCAAACCATCTTTTTACTCCAGTCCAAACGAAACTCGAATGGAAGCAATAGATTTTCATCAAATCAAAGTGTTACTTGGCAAAGTTCGAAATCCCATTCCCCAGACTGTTTGAGGGTAAGGAAGCCTGCACGCTTGAACCATCGAAAAGTCTTGTGTTTTTCAACATCCTGCAGGGCAATTCATCGCAATCTTCACATTTTGAATTACATATATATCACACCTATCAATTGCCTACGCCAATTCAGTACCTTTTTGAACCCTTGGAACATATATACATTTAAAAATAGGGAAAAGGTAGAGTTCATAGCTAAAAGGCAGTAAAGTGCGGAGCACAGCTCAACTTGGTACTGAACCATGAAGGGTTCTAGCGCGCTTCGCATCTGGATTGTCGCGAAGCTGAAAACCTACCCATGGCAAGCCGCTGGCAGTAGTCTACATTCCATTCAGTTATTACATATCAAGAGCAAAGTGTAAAGAACTAAACTTCTGTGTTTTGTTAGTATTAGAAATTCTTCACTGAAAATCTAATGAGCCCTATTTGTCCTTTCACCTTTCTATTCCTTTGATTGTTAAAGAATAGAAATACGTAACCTCTAATTCAATACACTGGTGCAATTAAAAGGTACCTACGTTATTCATTTACTTCATATTCTATCAGGTTTCACGTTCTATTGAAACTTTTGGCCCATCAGAAGTCTACCTTTTCAAAAATCATCAAGAAATTGAATTCTTCTAATGGGAAGAAACCGACAGCTTACCCAGCCTCCACAGCTTTCTTGACCAGCTGATGCGGTAGAGCATCCAATCCGACATGTCCATTAAGTTCCAACGTACGACCAGCATGCGGATCTTTGCGATCTTTATTAGAGTGAGGAGGTGGTTGTGGTGGTGGTGCATGTGGTGGCGCATGAGGTGGTGGATGTGGTGCTGCCTGTATAAATAGTTGCATTGTACAAAATGATTTTCATCTAAATGATGTCTACAAAACTAGAGGGACTTTCGATTTCAAGATGCGAGGTCGCTTTCTTTTCGAAACTTCAATTTTGATTGCGATTACTACCCTCTTGGATCATGCGAACATTTTTTGTTAGGACTGGAGGCAGCCTTGATATTTTTCATCACCAAGCTCAAGTGATCACTGCCTCTACTCGAGCTATAGAAATAACTTTTCGTCAGAGTTATTTGTGGATTTGATCTTTAGTTCAGTGAGAAGGAACTTTACTATTCAAAAATTGAGCATGAAAGCCGATATGAGTTTTTTTCTGTTCTCGACAAGTAACTGAATAAACTCAATCTTATACCATCTTTCTCAATCCCTCTCTAAGACAATGAAAGAATGGCATGAATACGGACCACATAACATCTTCGAAGAATAGCTAGATTGTAGAGCAATAGACACAGCGCTTCTTCAGAAAGCAACCAGCACTGCCAGGGAAAAAAGAGCCTATAAACGTGGCGCACTGCTTCGCGTAGACCTGCATCACCACTATAACGAATTCCTTCCGAAAGTACATAGAAGAACTGTATCTCGCAGTCATATAAAAAAAGTAATGAGTCAGGTTCATGAAGAATAAGTGGGGCTTTCCCAGGAAAACAATAACGTCTATGACTACCCGCAAAATAGGGTTTTATTCAATTTTTCATGATTACAACGACGAGACTGATAGTAAATATATTTCCATAGTAAAACGAAACGGCTGGACTCATCCGGACAAATAAAAGGATGACAATAATAGCAAACCACCGAAGCCCCAAGTTTTATCCATAACCCTGTGCCCTCGATCTATAATACTTATCCTATTGTTGCTGTATTGTTAATATAAAAGGCACATTGTAGTTGTCGTGACGACCAGCGTAAAGGCATATCAGTTCCAAGCTAATTAAGTTTCATAAAACGTAGAACTGAGGTAGAATCAAGCATCGCAAGGCCACACTTCACGACCTGAAGCACATTTGCCAAATCCCGTAATCATAACCGAGTACCTACGGCAGTGTTTTAACGAGATACGTCAAGTGTTCCACTTGGGAGAGCATTGTTTTCCATCAGAGGCCCCAGCGTGTTGAATAATAGAAGTAGTCTAAGAACGTCGATAAACGTGAAATGTCATTTTCAAAGAATACTGTGACCCTCCAGCGAGCTTCAATCATCTGAAACTCATTGCAATCTTGAGCAGCAGTGCCTTTACAAAACCCTTCCTCAAGCGAAATAGCAAGTCCTCGTACGACGCTCTAAAATTTTGAACGACGATAAATTTTTCCTTGAGACTTACCATGCATACAACGTGACGTAGTGTTGTCCCGATGTTCATTTGGCCCATAAAATTACTTGCCGAGTGGGAGGGTAGGGAAGCAGCAGATGTAGAAGTAGGTGCGCTTACTCTCCGAGAATCTGTGCAATAACTTGATGGGTGGGAAGGGATGAAACAGCTCATGTAGAAGACTGTTTTCGTACTCTCTTAGCAGGGATGAGTATAAGTGAACAAACACCAGAGGGGTGGTATAGCCTCGATCTGCGCAGATGGTACCAGTCGTAACTGCCCATCTTCGCGTCCAACGAAATACTTCGCGAGCTTTTTCAATTCAATTCAGCACCTGGTCTTCATGATGAACAATGGTGCTTGCTGCTCAAGCTTTTTAAACTGATTATTAGAATGTAAAAACAAGTGAACCTGCAAACCGGATGATCAAGAATTAACAAATCGTAGGCAGCGCGCACTAAAACGGATTAGAAACAAAAGTGCGCTGCTCTGGTTCAGAGCATTCGAAAAAATGTATCCAGTAACATAAAGATCACTTCCAGGTCCAATGGTATTGGTCCTATTGAAGAAAAGAACGTGCTAACGATACACTTCAATGTTCTGGAAAAGGATGAGTGGATCAATACTTCTATTAATACTTGCATCCTTCAATGAATGCTACCAGATAGAAAAAGACCATCATCAGCAACAGTTAGACACCGAAATGTGTGCGGATTTCGCCATTGCTCAATATTAACGGCATCGACATCAACAACGCAGGCCAATTGGAGAAGGTAAACTGATATTAGAGATAAAACACTCAACCTAATACGAAAGATAAAGTCTTACTCACATGCACAATACATACAGGTTGAGAAGCTGTGCAACATGACGACAACACAAACTATGAGCGATAGCTGTTGACTTGCAAGCTCTAAGTTGATGTGAATTCATTAAATCGGCAATATTGAAGGTTGAGAAAGGGACCTCGTGTTCATGCAGTTTTCTAGCCCAGCGTGTTCATACAGTTTTTTAGGCCAGCACCTAAGGTGATTGTTGCCTTCTTGATGGGGATAAGGCTGCAAAGCCCACCAACTCGCTTAGACTGGCTGAGGTACTTTTCAACATTCTATTCGATCCAAGGTAGCGAAGGCATTTGGGCAACAATTACGCATCTTATTCTAAACATAGCATCGATAAACTCTGTGAAATGAGGGAAAATGCGTAAAACCTCATACTGTGGCCTCATCTATATGTGTTCCAGCTGTTTGAGGAGCCTGTTAGACGATGAATCCCCCCCCCCCCCCCCCC